AGGCTCTCGGCTTTGCCTTCATCCGGCCGCTCTCCAGGGGACTGGGGGCCAACAGAGCGTGTGAGGCGGCAGGAACTGAGGAGCCAGAGCTGGTGGGATGGCAGGGACAGCTCCCCTGGCTCCCCTGGCTCCCCTGGCTCCCCTGGCTCCCCTGGCTCCCCTGGCTCCCCTGGCTCCCCTGGCTCCCTGCCCTGGTCCTTGTCCTCAGCTCCAGCGGGGCTGGTCCTTACTGCAGACCAAGGGCCTGGAGCCATCCCCCCGGCCTGCTCTGAGGCTCGGTTTAGCTGCTGTGTGTCTTTGAACTCGGGCTGTGTTGAAAATTTGGTGATGCAGGAGGCAAACAAGGTGCTGGGGGGTGGCTGAGGCTCAGCCCAGCCTTCCCAGGGCCACAGGAGCTGCTCAGTGCCGCCGAGCCCCGGGCAGTGGCCGCTGGGTGCCAGCCCTGGCTAAGGCAGAGCCCAAACCCCAGAGCTCTGCAATCTCACACCAGGGACCTCGTGCAAAGAGTTTCAGGATCCCTGCAGAGCCTGGAGCTGGGGAAGGGAAAGAATACGGATGAATTTCTTTCCATCTCTCCAAGCATCTGGGAGGTGGGTGGGAGGTAAAAAAAGATGAGCCCTGAAGTTTTAATTCCTCGGAGATATTTAGGTATCTTGCTCTTGTTAGTCAGGGAGCGAAGAGCCTGAGCATCTCTGGGATTGTGCAGCAGGTTCCTTCCTACCCCAGCACTTCCCAGCTCAGCTCCGACCTCTGGTTCTCCAAAATATTAATTTTCAGAGAACTTAATGACCCTCCACGTCCTTCAGATGGGCTCAGTGTCCTTAGGAAGGCCATTACTGGAAACCACAGCTTGGGAGATAACTCACTTGGATTTGTCAGGAGGAGCAGAGAGCTGAGGGCTGAAATGTGACCTTGACTCTTGAGCCACGACGAGGGGAGCAGGGAATTTTGTTCTCATTTAAGGGTGGTCTCAGCTCGTCCTCCTCAGAGTCTTCCTTTGCACACACCAGTAGCACCCAGGACGGTGCCTGGAAAACCTCTCCACCTGATGAAAATAATGAGGTTTTAACACCGTAACTGGAGCTCTTTATTCTTCTGGCTCGTCGGGCTGGGATCGGTATTCTTGGCTGTATTTCCACCACTGCAACCGTATTTCCCTCACAACACCCTCCCCGTCCCCCCAGCCCTCCCTGGGGAAAAGGGCTCTGAGAGGAAAACAGCCTGAGATGGAATCAGTTCATTGCCTGTGCATGTGCCGATAAACGCGGGGCGGGAGCTGAGCGCACGGAGGGAGAGCCGGGGGGGCACAAACGCTGCGGCCCGGGGCTGCGGGGATCCGGGGGCTCCGGGGATCCGGGGCTCCGGGGATCCGGGGCTCCGGGGATCCGGGGGCTCCGGGGATCCGGGGATCCGGGGATCCGGGGATCCGGGGATCCGGGGGCTCCGGGGATCCGGGGATCCGGGGATCCGGGGATCCGGGGATCCGGGGGCTCCGGGGATCCGGGGATCCGGGGGCTCTCACAGACCCCGCGGGGTGAGCCCGGGCACGGGCTCTGCCCTCCAAAGCTGCGGCCGCAGGGTGCGAGTGCCATCGCTGCCGGGGGAGTTGGGTGTCACCCCCCGAGGGTGGCACCCCGCGGTCCCATTGCGGGCACACACAAATCCCTGGCAGCTTTCCAGCTGGAGGGGATTCCCTGGACTGAGGTGGGATCGCTCCATGGAGAATTTGAGCTGCAGCTGCGTGGGGCTGGGGCACAGCCTGCTCCGCTCCTGCCGGAGGGTGAGCAGGGAGGTGGCACCGGCCCGATGGCACCAGGCGATGGCATCGGCCCTGTGGCTCCTGCCCTGTGGCTCCTGCCCTTTGGCACCGGCCGCTGGCAGAGCTGGCGCTGCTCGCCCTCAGAGCTGTGTCTGCCGTGCCTGGGGGACGGGGACCCGCTGGCAGAGGATGTGACACATGGCCCAGCTGCTGCGGGGGCTGTGTCCCCAGCCAGGACCCCGAGCAGCTGCCTCGTCCAGCCCTGGAGCCATTTCCAGCCGCAGCTCCCAGGGGCAGGATTCCCTCCCTGGGGAGCACCTTGGAGGTCAGAGGGGATTTTGGGGATCGCAGCCTTGTCGTGGCGTGTGTTTGGAGGCTGAAGCTGTGTGTCAGGTGGCTCAGCATTGCCATGACGACGAGCATCCTTTGCTGAACAGGGGGAGTAAAGGAGACAGAATAAATGTCAGAGTGTGAATGGATGC